GTACTGGTACTGGTACTCGTACTGGTAGCTGCTGCTACTGACTGCTGCTGCTGCTGCTGCTGCTGCTGCTGCTACTGCCAGTGCTAGTGCTAGTGCTACCACCACCACTGCTGCGCACGAAGGGGCGAGGAGGGCGACGGCCACGACGACAGCCACGACGATGACCCCGACGACCATGGCGACAACGACGACGACGAAGAGGACGACTACCATAGCAACGACCAGCAACATCACCAGCCGCAGCAACATCATCAGCAGCGGGAGCACCACCAGCACCACCAGCACCACCAGCACCACCAGCACCACCAGCACCACCAGCACCACCAGCACCACCAGCACCACCAGCACCACCAGCCAGCATCAGAACAATTGTGGCAAGGACAGTTGTGATCACCAGCTACCCACCGAGTAGTCCACAAGCACTGACGTTTCTGTCCCGTGATTCTTGAACTCTTCCCAGAAACTTCATGGTGGGTCCAATGCATTTCTCATACGTGGGCGGTTCAAGGTAAGATCGGGCAGCACTCCGAGAACGACGGCCCGACCCCACCCTCGACAACTAGGGCTGTCAATCCTTTCCACACCCACAAGGGGGTTGCCCAAAATAGGGGGACCCTAATATACTACCTTAAATTGCAGGATCCTTATTATAAGGACTCCAAGAGAGGGTATCCCTTAATTTCGGAAACTCCCAATAACTTAAGTCCAACGTCCAAGCCCTGAGCCATCCTGAGCCTAAGTTCACCCGACGCCCGTGTTCCAGAAGCGAACTGCAGGCAGAAAAGGGTTTAAGGGTAAAGGTTTTAGGGTTTAGAGTTTAAGGGCTTAGGGTTAAGGGTTTAGGGTTTAGGGTCATCAAGAAGCCAAGATGCAAAGCCAAAACCCTGCGCAGCCAGGACACCGGCTCTGTACAGCGGCTTTGCCGGGCACTCTGAAAGCCAGAGTGGAAGCAAGCCACCGTTTTTGCGACGCAGATCCGACTAAGAGCCAACTCAAAGGGCAACTTGAGCAAAGACATCACTTGAGGCCCGATCTCTCACCACACCCTGACCCAGAACTATTGTCCATAAACACTATGACATAGCCGGTTGCTAGAATATACTGTAATGGCCTCGGGAGCCGGAGTTAACGACTTGGAGAGTCCAGTCAAGGCAGAGATGATGCGAAATCGGCCATCCAGAAGCTCCTCGAGGCTGCCTCTGATGTCGCGCAGCGACCTCCTGCGCTTCTTCGTTGCCAGCATGGCTATCGTCGTGGAACACCGCGCAGGGGTTCTCATCATCTGAGGATTCTTCACGTTGACATTGTATCCTCCAACCAAAAAACAGATAGCAGTGTCATTGCCCGTCTCGCGAAGATCGTCACGTCACGGTCATGACAAGGTGCGAGGCTGTCCCCATGAGTTTCGCTAGACACGACGGACCAAGTGCTGAGGGGGTAGTGGTGTTGCTGCGGTTATGTGGCCTAAGCATGGGTTTCAATGCTTTGGGCTTTTCTGGGAAGTCTTGCCAAACAGAAAATAAGGGTACTTCAAGGGTTTTACAGGGGCTATGAGCACTGAGGGATCAGCTCTGGGAAGCCTGGATCTCGGGCTAAAGGCCAAGAAATCTTAGGGAGACTTGGGTTTCAGGCAGGCATAGGCAGGCAGTGCCTTTGAAGAGAGCGTAGATTGGCAGCTATCTTGCGGACGCGGACCTCGTCTGTGAATGTGGCATCAAGGAGGTGGAGATGCGTCCTCTTGTCTCGTGTCCCTGCGGCCCAAGCGTGTTCGCCGATCGGTCCTTGCAAAAGCGGCAGGCCCAGATTCAGAGATTCAGAAGTGATAGCCGGAGCACTCCAAGGGGGCGGCACCAGCAGTTCAGATCGAGGACGGCAGCAAGGAGTCGTCAAAGTGCACGCGACAGACGGGCGGAGTTCGAAAGGCGATGCTCGAGCACATCAGCATGGAAGTAGAACGTTTCCGGGTTGACGGGCACAGGTTGAAAAAGTCTGAGAAGAGTAATCGGCAATGCACAGCTGCAAGCAGCAAAAGAACATCAGCGACGAAGACGCTTGCAGCTGCGTTGATTGGTCTTGGAGGATGCCAAGGATTCGGGCGCAGAAACGGTACACGCACCTTCGGCTTGTAGATTGGCGTTGCAGTCAGAGGATCCAATGGCCTGCTTGGTGCGTTCGCGATCTTGGAGGAACCGAAGCTGGACATCTTGTCAGGGCGTGATCTTTAGCTCCGTCAGCTGCCGACCTGGCCGACTACGTCGCAAGGTATTCTGCACTCGAAGTGCTTCTGCTTGTGAGGGAAAGCTGTCAGCGAGGAGGAGGCACTTCTCCCCATCAACGCAGCTCCTGCTACCTGTACCAGGCCTTAGGCAGGCTCCTCTGCAGCCATGATGAGCGGAGATGGTGCCGGTCCCCCCGGAGGACACCTGCGGGATGCTTTTCTGGGTGTCACTTTTGTCACCTCTTTTGGGGGGTTTTGGGGAACTGGGGCCCTTTGTTTCCCAGAATCCGATTTGCCACCTCCCTCTGGTGCTTGGCTGCTGGGGGCCCTTTGTTTCCAGGAATCCGTCACTTCTGCACGTCGATTCATGTCACTTCGTTTTGGTCGCATTCAGAGCTCTACATGCACCCAGGAAGAGGTGACAAAGTGACACTTTCGAAGCAGGGTTGTTGCCGGAAAGCGCGAACTGAGAAGTGACAGAAGTGACGGTCGTCGACGATTCACTGGGCTTGGCAATTGACACTTAAAGGGACCGACTGCTGCTTTGGTGCGTTCGACCAGTTGTCGCCAGTATGGCATCCCAGCTCGTGCGCAAGGAACAGCGAGAGCAACGTTTGTCGCCAATCGGTCAAGCTGCCGTCTCTCCTGTACGCGACTCGAGCCCTCTGTCGCATGCGGGTTCCCATCTTGTAGTTGTTTGTGGGCCTCCTTCCCGACGAAGCGGTCGGGGCGACACTGAAGCATGGCCTCCATGGCTATCTGTTCGCGAGCGGTGTCAGTCGAGCTGGCCGCCAGAAAGGGTGCGACGTGACGAATCCCGAATGCTGGGTGGACCTGGGGATAGGAGTGGTGAGCGCGTGGCACACCTCCACTATGGTAAGCCGGATTATGACCTCCAGTGGACCGAAACTCCTGGAGATGATCCGGACATCTTGGAGCCCGGCGACCGGTGAGGGCAATGCACTGCAGGTGCCAAAGAAAAAGACCCGGCCCAGCAAGAAATCGGAGAGGAGACATGGCACGCAACATCTCAGATGTGATGGGAGGCGTGGTCGAGCCCCGGTGTTTCTGGCTCTCCAGAATCTAATCCTCGACAGTATCTCCGGGACCATGGCCAAAGGGGGTTGCAAACTCTGGGCTCACAGCAAAGCAGTCGGACCGGATGTGCATCCAAAGGGTGGCCCTCCAGCACTAATCGGAGTCTTCGGCCTGTCGCATGAGCAACTCTTGCAGTCGGAGGGGTCCACGACGACGGATTGATCCCACGTTTTCGCAATCCGGAGCCGACCCTGCATCGTGACACGCAGACTCTGTTCGAGGAAGCTGGTTGCAGCGCCATGCAGTTCAGGGTGCAGGGCGACGTGATCTGAGTGATCCGTTCCGTTCTTGTCATTCTTGCCCTCTTTCCTGCAGGCGCATGCGCTTCATTGATCTTCAGATCTCTCAACTCGGAACGCTCTTTCAAGCCTGCCTTTGGAGCCCTTGCATCTCACTGCCAGTCACTGCCAGCCACATGAGCTCCTACCCCACCAGGTCTCTGGAGCGACATAAGCCCAGAGCGTGGGGTTGGCCTCGACTTTGCTCTGTCCATCAGAGACTCCCTGATACTTCCACCGCTGGAGGATTCTCCTGAGGCTCGGGCACAGGTGTCGACTCCAGCTGATGCTCTTATGCACCAAAGGAACTAATGCACGAAGATCAACATCTATTCAGGATCCTTTACAGGAGCCCGATTGTAGAACCTTATAGTATCTACAGTGCCCTTAGAGGATCCCTTATAGGATGACTCGAAAGCTGTCGGTCCTGCTGTTTCCGGCCCCCCCCTCCTTTGAAGGGAAGGACCATGTGCCGGTCCGACCGCAAGACCAGGGAAAGCTTCCACGGTTTAGGGTTTAGGGTTTAGGGTATGTACGACATCCCTGCCATCCCTAAGCCGAGAAGCCAGCCAGCTGGATTCATGTTTTGGTGTTTGAGTCCTGCTTGCTGGCGCCTTTCCTTCGGAAGTCCATGTTCAGAAGATCCATGGGTTGCAGTAGGGTCTGGGGTTCAAGGTTTTGAGGGCTTATATACATAGCCCTTGCATCGGTTTCGGTGCGCAAGGGCTGCAGCAGCTGTTGATTCTACTTGAGATCGACCATCGCTGCTGCATTTTTTCCAGGCGCCCGGGGGGAAAGAGCTGCCATCAGAAGCAGGCTCCAGGCTCCCCGAAGGGGAGCCGACTCCAGGGGCCAGGGGATGAGGCCGTTGCATCAGTTGAACCCAAGGCCCTGATCCGATGGAAGCTGCGGAGGAGTGCCGAAAAGGCAGCCCTCGCAGATACCCATCTCATTCCCACAACGCTTGCATGTGGTTGCCCTTCGCCCTCGTGCTGCGCAAAAGTCGCGTTCGGGTTTTGGGCATCCAGCTGCCAGCCATCCTGGAAAACCAGCAAGAAACCCCCTCAGACAGAGCTTCCCAGGTAAACTGCTTCGAGGTGTCGTGCCAAGTGGCGGCCCCAAGTGAGGGAAGCCACCGGTGCTCTCCAGTGCTCTCCAGTGATCCCATGGGAGGTGGTGCGATTGCTCGTGAAGCTGGCCATGTCACCAGGAGCCGAGGTGCTTGAGAAAACGCGAGGGGTCGTACTCTCACATGTAGGGTTTAGGGTTTAGGGTTTAGGGTCCCAGGTGAGTTTGGGTTTGGCACCTTGGTTCGCGTTGCACAGGTGCTCGGGTATGAGTTATTGTTGAGTAAAACATGTTTCTTGTTGCAGTGACAAGTGCAAGCGTGGATGGTGGGGTAAATTAGGGTGCCCCGTGGCCATTTTGGACTCAAGTGGGCTCACCCGATTCTTTAGGGGGCCTACAGGACAGGTGGGAGTGGTTCATGGACCGGGCGGTCGTCCTTTGGGCAGATCGGGACTCCTCGGGTCCTCCGATCGAGCTCGAAGGGACCGACTCGGTTCCGTGTCTTCTCCTTAGTCTGTGCTTTGGTGCTTGGGCATTGGGCCTCCTTTGCGGCTGCATCTGCCGAGGAGCAGGCACCCAGGGGAGAGCATCCGTACCCGCACCTCCTCCTCCATCGCCGGTGGACCGGTGGGAGAAAATTTCCCGCCGAGCCGTCAACTTTGTGAGGAGCCGCCGGAGGCTATCACTGGCCTTTGCCCACCTCGGCACCTACTCGTTGCGGAACGCGCCAGAGTCCAGGCCCAACATTCGACGCAGAGCTGCCCGACGAGCAGCCACCCCTGGGCCAGTACTTCACGAAGGGCCGGCGGTGAGAGATGGACCCTACCGACGCGGAGCTCCAGGCGATCACGGACCTGCCGGGGGTCTTTACATGGGCCGGGGTCACGGGAGGATTGGAGAGGTCCCTGCGCACAGCCCTCGGGGACCCGGCCCGCGTGAGAGAGCTGGCTCTCGTGCCTAGGCCAGCCTGGGATGCCATGGCACAAGCTTTGAAGGTGCCAGGGCCCAACGATGCCGACGGCAACCCCGGACCACCACGAGACCTCACACTGGTGGAGAAAGCTAGGGTCGAATCCGCGAGAAGGGTCGCCTTGCTCCGCATGGGAGTGGCTCCCGACTCGCCTGGTGGAACCGGGCCTCCGACACCGTCACCAGCACCGGGACCTGGCCCAAGCACTGGAGGCTCCCCTTCTGGAGCCAGGAAACTCAAGTTATCCTCGGTCCTCGACCCGACCTTGGACGCAGAAGTTACCCCTTTGGGCCAGGCGGAAGTGCAGCAGCTCTACCAGGACTACAAGACGAAGTTCGGCGACTACCCTAGCCCGGAGGCAGACCCCTCTTCGGACCAGCTCGCCTCGCTGCGTCAGGTGGTCACGGCTGGGTCAGCCCCCTATGCTGACTTCTCGCTGTTCGGGCCCCACGGCCTGCGGCTTCTCCGCAAGCAGACGTTCACGTCCTACACCTTGAACGTCGCCACGGGGGAATGGTCCAAGAAGGAGCAGCCGGGACCCGCATCGTACCATGCTTGGGTCGAGGCCTGGAAGGTCTTGAGGACCGCCCTCCTCCTGCTGGAGGTCGCGGACGCCGAGCGCCTGGATGCCTACGCGGAGCACGTCCGCAGCTTCGTCACCCAGTTTGGGGATACGGCGTGGTGGTTGGTTTACCGGGTGGAGAACCGGATGAGGTGCGAGCACATGGAGAGAATCCGGCGGGTACTTCACGACCGACCGGACCACGGCTACACCGCAGCCCGCCCGTGGAACGCAGCTTTCGCCGCAGCTGTGAAAGACGGGGACTTTTGGACCCGTGAGCTCGTCACCCCCGCCACGCTCTGGCTTTCCCAGAGGCAGCCAGGATCAGGGAGCGGAGGAGGTACCAGCTCGAACCCCGACCGTCGGCCCGCGGGGTCAGGGGAAGGCGGTGGAGGCGATGACGAGCCGGCCAAGAAGAAGGCCCGGGCAGGCAAGAAGAAATACGAGGGGGAGAACCTGTCCGAGAAGAAGGGCGGCGTCTTCGTGAAGAACCGTAGGGGTGCAACCATATGCGACGGCTACAACAAGGGCAAGTGCGGGAGCAAGAAGCCACAGAGCAAGTGCAAGAATTCGAACTCGCACCAGTGCAACCTGTGTTTGGGCCCACACCCCGCGACCGATTGCCCGAAGGCCTGACCCCCGGACTCTTCAGCTGATTTGGATGCTGCCTCCTCGTCGGCCCCGGCCGGAGGAGGATCAGTGCCAACAGACCCGCCGGGCACCACGCATGGGGGCCGCTTTGCAGCACCGAAGCCCAAGAAGTACCCGTTGGGCAAGCCGGCGTCCGCCGGCACACCCCAGGAGCTCGTGGACAAGACCTGCGCTTCAAAGGCGGCTGGCCCCGCTCCTGGAAGCCAAGCGGAACCCAAGACACCGCCAAGGCCACCCCTCAAGAGAAAGAGGCAAGACGCGCCCAAGCACAGCGACGGCCGGCCGAACGCGGATGCAACTGCAGATCCGGCCACGTCCTCTGCGGAGGCACGGCCAGCCGACGGACCTGGAGCCACGACCCCACCAAGGGCACGGCCGGGCGAAAGCAAGAAGAAGAAGAAGAAGGAGACGAGCCGAAGCACGCGAACGGCCAGCCTCAAAAGCCTACTGCAGATACCGCCGGTGGACAGCGCTCTCCCCGACTACCAGCCCCTGGCCCGAGGACCTCGCGAGTACGGAACTTGGCTGGAGATACCCTCGGACACCTTCGAGGAACGGCCCTGGGCCCTTGTACTCTTCAGCGGCAGGCGCCGCAAGGGGGACCTGCCCAACTGGTTGGTCCACTTTGGCTTCATGGTCTGCTGTATCGATCTGGTGGCCGACCACCCTTGCAACGCACTGGACGAAGCACAGTGGACCCCGCTGGAGAAGGATGTCAACGATGGTCAGTTTGAGGTGGTGTGGGCCGGCACGCCCTGCGGGACCTTCAGCCCGCTGCGCGAAGTGAGGCCGGGGCCGCGGCCTCTGCGCTCGGTGGAGGAGATCGAGGGCATTTCGGGCCTGGGACCACGGGAGAAGAACCAGGTCAGAGAAGCCAACGTCCTCGTGGAGCGCACCTTTGACATTTTGTCTTTGGCGTGGGACGAGCGCAAGACCTGGGGCCTGGAGAACCCCGTCCACGGCAGCGACCGGCCCGAGCTTTGGCAGATGCCACTCGTGCGCCAGCTGTCCCAGCTCGACCGGACAGCCGAGGCAGTGTTCGACCAGTGTCGGTTCGGCCTGGCTACAGTTAAGCCCACCAAGGTCCTCTACAGTGCGCACGCCAAGGGGTTCGATGAGCTCCGCGGGCTCCGTTGCGACCATCCCCGCGGCACTCATGGAACGGTTGCCGGCCAGCGGGAGCAAGGAGCATCCGGCGCGCAATGGGCTTCGAAGGGCCAGGGCGAGTACACGCCGCACTTCGCACAGGTCGTGGCCCATTGCCTCTACCAGGGTTTCCGAGAGAGGGCCCTGGAGAGGGAGGACCTTTGAGCACCCCGCCTTGAGGATGAGCTGACCGCCTTCCCGAAGGACAAGACGGACCGCGAGCGGGAGAATGCCGAGGCACTGGGCGGCATGCGCAACCCACGCACCGCACTCAGCCGGCTCCCGAGGTCACGCCGGGTGGGCAGGGCGATCCACAAGCTCTTGCGCCACACCTTGGCGAGGTGGCCAGAGCTTGTCGAGCCAGCCAGGGCCATCCTTCGAGGAGAGGAGCCGGGCGACTTCGACACGGCCACCGTCGACTCGGTCAGGTCAGCCGTCCACACCGTCCTGGGCACGAGTGACAGGGTGAAAGTCAGGAGGAGGACCGCCCCCGCCGAGACGCCACTCAGGGCGGACATCATAGAGTCCTGGGGGCTTGCCACGGAAGACCCAGACGCGGCCACCATCGCCGACTGGTTGGATAACGGGGCACCCCTAGGGATCTCCCAGGCGATTCCCAGCCGAGGAGTGTTCCCGAAGGTCAGCTCCCACAACGTCACGCCCCACTCCCAGCTTGACGCCCGGACTCTGGAGGGATGGTCGAACTATCGGTCAGCAGAGGAAGAGGCGGAGACCTTAGAGGAGCTGGTTAGCGACTACGTGGCCCGCGGCTTCTGCCAGATTGCCTATTCCCAGCAGGAGGCGGAGGAGGTTTTGGGTGGAAAGCCGGTCCTCAACAAGCTGGGCATTCTGGTGAAGGAGAAGCGAGACGCCCACGGCAAGGTGGTGAAGAAAGCAAGGGTCATCTGGGACCTCCGGGAGTCCTCTGTCAACAAGGCCTGCCACCAAGGGGAGAGGATCATACTCCCGCGCCTCCTGGACGTCGTGGCCTCGGCGCTGTCTTCCTATCGGCGGGGCCGGCCTCCTTACCTTGCGGGCGTCGACATCAAGGACGCCTTCATGAACATACCTGCGGGGGCCGACCGGCGCTTCACCGTCGCGGCCGTCCCAGGTTCGAGGAACCGGCCTGGCAAAAGACACCGCCTCATCATCTTCAACACTTTGGTGTTTGGGTCGGCCTCCTCGCCCACCCTTTGGGGCAGGGCCGCCGCTTGGCTTGGGCGTTCGTCCGCCGCGGTCTCCCCAGCCGACCTGCAATGCTATGTGGACGACCCTATCTATGTTTTGGAGGGCCCGTCCGCTGAAGCGGCGGCCGGGGACCTGGCGGTGATTCTCCTTTGGACAGCGGTCTGCGGCTACCCCATCAAGCTGTCCAAGGCCACCGGGGGCAAGGAGCTCGAATGGGTCGGCGCGAAGATCAGGTGCTTGGACACTGAGGAGGCGGTCGTGGTTACCCTGCCGGAGGCTAAGATCCAGGCCCTCCTCGCGGACACCAACAGGTTTCTTTCGAAGCCGGTGGTTGGAGCTCGGGAGCTCCGGTCCTACACGGGAGCTCTCTCGTTCGTGGCGGGGCTGGTCCCGCACTTGAGGCCATTCCTGGCCTCGTTCTGGTCAGTTCTGTCGAGGCATGCCGTGACAAGTGAAGGCCTCCACGTGAAGGAGGCCCGAAAGCTCATACACGTCAGACGGATCAGACCAGCGCTTCGCTGGGTTAGGGCCCTCTTGTCTGGTGGCCCCACCATCGAGAAGATCTTCTACGCCCGCCCTCCAATGACGGACCTGGAGATCGTCACAGACGCCTCACCCTGGGGCATTGGAGGAGTGAGGCGGCATTCGGGAAAGCCGACGGGCTACTTCTACAGCCACCTCCCGGACGGCGTCCTCAAGAAGTTTGGTGCAGAGCGTGGCCTCCCGAAGCACAACACACTGTGGGAGGGCCTTGCGCTGCTTGTGGCGTTTAGGCTCTGGTTGCCTGCGCTTGTGCACGGCGCTTTGTTCCGGGCGAAGTCAGACAACCTCGGCTTCCTGAAGGCCCTGGCCAAGGGGGGCGCGAAAGCTCCCGACCTCAACGTCCTCGCCCGCGAGTTCGCCTACGACCAGGCGGTCAGAGCCTACCAGGTGAAGGGGCTCGTGCACATACCGGGCGTTACCAACCTTCAGGCGGACGCTCTTTCCCGCCAATTCGCCCCGGAAGCGAAA